AGAAGGATGTGGCGTTGATTGGACTTGCCAATTACTAGGACCATCAGTGTCAAGATCGGCCTCTAGAGGAGGTTCGTGAAGGATGCTGCTGGAGAGTTGGAGGCAGTTGCCCTCCAGCAACAACAAGGCAGAGGAGCGATGCTGATAACAATGAGCGGAGTGCCGGGCAGCTAAAATTCAGAGAGAGTGACTGTTGGGAGTACGGTGCATCCGCCAGTTATCTCAGTCAGCCAATGGTACTTGAGTCTGGTCCCTGAGGTCCTGCCAGCGGGCTTTCGACACTTCACGTATCCTCAAAGTGCACCTAGCATGGTACAATCATCATGGTGATGTCACCACCGCTTATTGGTGAATGGCGGTTATAGATACGTTTATAGCACGCTATGGCTCGTTCTCAGCGTTAATAACACACCAATAAGGCATGTAATAATAACACTGTGCTGCACGCATTCCTTTTCTGGGTAGATATAGATGGAGTCCAAATTATATCCTCATAGAAAAGCAACTGGACTCTATACTAGCGAACCCAGACAATTGCTTAGGCTCTGCTGTACTCCTTTAGACCACGATAGAGCAACATTCACATGGTTCTTTGGCCATAGCAGCCGCAACATTCATTACCATAACCAAGACACAATTACATAACCGGCAGTCATCGACTTACGGACACCCGACTTATGAACATCTGCACTTACAAACAAGCTTCCATTAGATATTTATTTTTTACCATCAATTTGCAAATGCAAACTCGTACTTGCGAACTGAACCACGAAAATATTTTGTTCAGTGGAGCTATCCTCCACGAGATGTAATGAATCACGAACTCGCAGAGAGTGGGAGTGTGTACGCTCATGTGTGTCTGAAATTGAGTTTGCATGCATGTATAGTTTTATTTCGATCTAAAGCTTTCGTGACTGCAAGGATTCGTCTTCTTTGGTTCTTTCGGTAAAGTCACGTAGAATGAGAATAAAATAATAAAATAATAAGATAAAATAACACAATTAAATTCTCACGACGTTTCAGCCACAACACAAGTGGCCTTCTTCAGGTGAAAGGAACAGACCTGTCGGGACGACAGAGCTTCAATGAACGTTGTTAAGATTCGTAGCATCTTTTAAGCTGGTTTAGAGAAGTGAGGCACCTTGCCAAAGGGGTTTACATATCAAACAGGAGAATTTAGCATTGAAATAGCTGAGTGATTAGCTTGTGACTGGTCATAGAAATAGCTATGTTAAAGTCAAAGCTTACACATCCACAGAGGCACCTAGTACAAATCAAACAGGATAATTTAGCATTGAAATAGCTGAGTGATTAGCTTATGACTGGTCACAGAAATGGCTATGTTAAAGTTAAAGCATACACATACACAGAGGCACCTAGTACACATCAAACAGGATAATTTAGCATTGAAATAACTGAGTGATTAGCTTGTGACTGGTCATAAAACATCTTTCCAATGGTTACTAAGCCAGAATCCATCTTCTCGGTTGAAATTGTCTCTGTGCTTGTATATGTGGATAGCCTCATGAACGAATCTCTCATGGTACCCCGATGGCTTGCAAAGAACCTCTGTCTTGAAGAAGTGAACGAATCTTTCATGGAGGAGCCAGGAAGGGACGTGGGTGGGGGGGAGGGATAAGTTAAGCTGCCTTTTGTTATGCTGCAGGGGGTTCGGGGGAAGTGATGACGCGCTGCTCAAAAGCAAGTACAACCCACTAGAGGAAATGGCTGTACAAGTATATCATTGTTTCAACACAGCGGGTTCTCATGACATTGTTTTCTCCGATACCAAAGTACTCTGCAAACCTCCCGGTTATTACCAAAGATTTGTCCATGAAGCCATCCAGATATACAAACATAGACACAACTTCAACCGAGAGGATGGTTTTAAATTGAGCAACCATTGGAAAGATGTCATCAACCAAGTCAAACTTTAGCTGCCTTATAATTGAACAGCCATTTCCATTTCTTCCAGTGCGTTGTACTTGCTTCCGAGCAGCACGCCATCGCTTCCCCCGAACCCCCTGCAGCATAACAAAAGGCAGCTTAACTTAGCCCTCCCCCCCACCCACGTCACTTCCTGGCTCTTCCCCCCCCCCCCCCCTAACCTGTATATGATCTCGGGTGTCTCAGAGCTCTTCACTTGATACAGCTATTTTGCTGTGACTGTTCCACCTGAAGATGGAAGCTTGTGTTGCCTCCAAAACGTCGTGATTTAATTTAGTTGTTTTCATTTATTTTACTTTACCTACGTGACTTTACCGAAAAAAAACAAAGAGTATCAAGGACCCGAGTTTGATTCCCGCTCACACAAGTGACGATTATCTGAATGGGTCCTGAGCCTCAATTTGATTGACTCAGCCTCAAATTAGTACCTAGTGCGGTATGTAAACATTACTGCTGGATATATAAACGCAGCCGGGTATGGTGCTGGCCATCCACCCCTCGTGTGCCATGACAGCCTTCATAGGCACTGCTCGCTAACGTCACTTGCCCCCAACACCTGCTCAGGCTTTACGTTGTCGTTGGTGTCTTTGTGTGTGTGTGCACGCACGCGTGCCTCCGTGTATGTGTGTACAATTGTGGGGACTCATTATACACCTTCGGACAAAAAAGCCAGTATCAGGACCCGAGGTAATAGACAATAAAACTTAGTTTTTAAATGTCTTGTTACTTCATGTTTCATTTACAGTATTACATGCAAATGTACACTTTTACAGTATTACATGCAAATGTACACTTTCCTGTGAGTTTAACAATGCTCCCCTTATTTGAATCGTAACACATTTTATTAGACTGACAAAATGTGCATTTAAATACAGTCCATTGTGTTCCTACTTACGAACCGATCAACTTAAAAACGGGTCTCAGGAATGGGACCCGGTCGTAAGTCAAGGACTGCATAACACTAGACTCGATTATCCGCGTGCGATTTATCTGATTTTCAGATTAACCGCCCATCTAAGATTTTCACGTAAATTGATAACTCGTGGATTGTCTCTTAAGCCCAAATTAATAATATAAAACATTTATACATAGTTATTCTTAGATTCGTATGGCTCTGCTTTCCACTTAGTGGGCGGAGTCTTCTACGAGTGAGCAGGAAAGTTGTATCACTGAGCACAATTAACTATTTCCTACAAATGTATGTTTTCATTACAAACTAAATTTTCTTAAGTTAAACATAATGTATACTTATATTAGTGGTTTTTGGCATCGAGATTCACGGAAAATTGATATTTTTGGATTATTGGCCGATTTTGAATTATCCTCCCCGTCATTAGCACGGATAACCGAGTCTACTGTGTTTAATAATATAATAATAAAACATTTAATCCTCACCACTTCCCCCACAACAACACAAACACTTAAAAAAGTGCGTCTGAACCGATGCAGTCTCTTGCGAATGGTCG